TCACCTCTGAAGATGATTTCGGATGAAATTGAATGTACTTGGGCAAATAAAAATGAAAAGGAAAGAAACAAACTATAGCGCTTTTCTTAATGAATATCAACATTAAGAAGTCGATAATTATAGAGGCTCACAATAAAAATAGATATAATATATCCAGATTATTCAACCACGCTTGAATATATATATATATATATATATATATATTTATATATATACAGGCTGTTTCAAACTGGACGCAATCGTCAGGCGACCTGACGATTACGTCCAGTATGAAACAGGATGTCGCTTCTGAGTGTTGACTTCAGTGTTCACTTTTATATTTATATTTACACACACTCTATCTCTGATATTGAGCACTTTATCCCATAAATATAGCACACGTTAAAACTGTGACACTATTTAGTGTTGCGTGGGAAAAAAAAGGCGAGAATTAATTTAGATGATAAGAAGCTATTGCGAAAAGACACTGAGCGATGTTATTTTTTCTAACAAAGAAAAGTGGTAAAGATTTTATTTTCATTTGCGAAAAGAAAAAGTATCCTTTTTCTCACGCAGAAGATAGGAGATTCGTAAGATACCGGATCTGTCGAATTAATTTATGTTACGGCGTGGCGAAAGAAGATAGCAATCTGTCGATGGCAATAATGAAAATTTCAAATTGGTCAAGTGGCCTACGGGACAGAATGCTAAGATATAATATTAATTAGGTCATGCACTGACCGAGAAAAATGTCCGCTGGACCACCCACAAGTTGGAAAGAAGGAAAGATTAAACCATTAACTATCTGCGGAGATATAATTTGGGAAAAACACCTGTTTTATGTCAGAGCTGGCCATGATATAAAAATTATTTTATCGGAACAGATAATTGGCGACTGAGTGCGGAAAATCATTGACCAACCTCAATGATTATTTGCCGAAAATCTCGTTGACGAATTCCAGACGACGTTTGGTTAAAATAAGAGTCGTGTGAGGTCTGCTTGTGGAAGAGAAAGAAAAAGAAAAAAAGGAAAGAAGATAATTTTTTTCCTTTGAGCGATAATTGCAAACACCCACGCTGCTGAGCGTTCATTGGCTGAAGGGTGGCGTGAGCGGTAGGCGAAGGTAAACTATGAAGAAGTAGGGGAGGCCTGTTGACGCGCCCTGAAGGGATTGGTGTGAGATGCCACTGTGAGAGAGAGGGGAACCTGTTGACGCCCTCTGAGGGGATTGGTGTGAGATACCAAAATGAGAAAGGAAGAATTTGGGAGGACGATTCCCTTTAAGTAAGGACTTCCAAAAATGGAAAGTAATAAATTTTCCTATCCGAGAACAAAGAAGATCCTTATTGTGGATTTAAAATTATCAAGGAACCTCAAAACCCGACAAGCCCACCCCTGTTTTGGTCGGCGTTCATATAAGCAGAGTCGCAGCGAATGGACAGACAGGCAAGCAGTAGAGTTGGAGTTGGAAGTTGGAGAGAGAGATGCAGAATTGAAATGTGAGCTCTGAGATCCGCCTCGCAGAAATCTGACAAAGATCCACGCATCACGACCTCAACTTCTAACCAAGAACAATTTATTTTTGAAGAACAACTTAGACTCACACCACCAAAACCAGTTTTGCGAATATCGCCTGAAGACACCAAAAACCAGTTATCGAAAAACAACTTAAGATGTTAATACTCGCCTGACAAACGCAGAGTGTCACGTATCCATATAAGCGGGTTGGGAGAAAGCGCAGTCCTGTATTCAGCAACCAGATATAAAATATTATTATCCTTTTTTAATACATTTGAACTTTTCCAGTTGTTACTTATTTTTCTTTTACATATACTTGTGCGGTATTACCCTTGTTCGGACTCGACTTGTATTGCGACCCGGCGACTGATTGATTTCGTCTACCTAAGATCAAATCACAACGTGGGTAGCTTAGACTAGAAATCAAAGCAGTTACTTCGGTAACAAGACGTTGGAGGCGAGCTGGGAACGACAAGGCTGATACCGAATCTAACCAGATTCCCATACGAATCAGCAAAGGGTTAGAACGTCACGTTTGGTGCCGCACTTTGGTCGTCACAAGATAGACGGAGTGTGGGGCAGAGAGGCCACCAGGTGACGTCACAAAACTATATTTCTTCATATATCACAATATGCTTAACCAATACGTGAGGCAAACTATGGATGATTAACCTGATGCATATTTATGTGCGTACTAAAATTTTTAACGCTAATAATATTTTGCTCTGGTATATAAATATTTGTTACAAAATAAAATCTTTGCATTTGCCTTGAAAGATTCCCTCAGAAGACGAAACCTTTTGTCTTTATTCATATTGTCCTTTTACACACTGAAATCTGACATATATATATATATATATATATATATATATATATATATATATATATATATATAACGTTTTATTAATTAAACGAACACGGTCTGTCTGCTTAATTTGTTATTGTATTTTTTTCAGTTTACGAATAGGTTATTGCATATCTGGATCAAAGTTTTGCCTAAAATGTTAGAATTCATATTTTCGTTCGAGTACACACAACACTCTCAAAAATTTAATGTTCAATATATTACTGAGCAAAACTATCTATATAGAACGCTTATTGTGACATTGTAGGACAACAATTATTGTTTCTAGTATCCTTCCCCTAATACAAGGACCGGTAGTCCACTTAAAGTAAATGGTTACTGAAGATGATTGTTAATGGTAGATCACGGTTGACTCAAAACTTGGAGACGTTAAAACTGTATTGATCGGGGAATGTAGCGAATGTTGGAAAAGAAGATGTCCGAATGTAACATTCTTTTTCACCATTGCCATAGAAAGGGAATGGTGCCACCCTGTATACGTGGTATGGTGGGTCTTAGATCGAAAAGTCTGAACCTGTGGAACAACGAAATGTTGCTGGTCAGAAATAGCGATAAATCAAAGAGAGGCTTTCGAAGATTTGTCTGTTTGAATGGGGGTTGTAAAATAGAAAATAATTAATCACTCACAAAGTCATATAGACGCTTTGGAAAGTGGGAATTGGACAGATGCATTCTGGATATAGCAGCAATAATCCATTTTAAATTTGATCTGTTTTTTGTCGATATAGAGTAATTCAGGGGGAATCAAATATTATCTGAGATGCTACGAGGAAACGAACCATTTTGCCAGTCTCGTTATGGATGGATCGTATATTTGCGATCGACTTGAACATGACGTTCAAAGCTAGGATCCTAGTTGAGGGGATAGAATTTCATTATAACAGGAAAAAGTCAGGGGCTGCTCGGCGGTGATGAAATGGTACTATCTTGGTTTTTGGTGTATCAAATGTTAGAAGCCAGCTTTCCTCTGCTGAGCTGTTACTAGAAATCAGAGGAGAGACCACATACCAGACTCTGGTCATCTTGATTTTTCGAAGTGTGTCCATAAAATATATATATATTGACCAATGATCTGAAAATGTTCTTAGGCCTATCGTGAATATAAAGTAGGAAGTTGGTAGTACTAAGTAGATGACCGTTGCTGTACGGCTGCATTATTCTCCTGGGTCTCAGAAGACTGCCTATTTACGACATTCATTGATGCAGCTGCTATGAAGGACAATAATTGCGTAGACTCTTCCAGAGATGCAATATCTGGAGATTTTATATCGTAAACCCATATGATACACCGTTTCAAAAACATTTGCGATATCTAATTAATATTAATGTATAGATAGATAGATAGATAGATAGATAGATAGATAGATAGATGTCAATACATACAGAGTGGAAGAAAAGTAATGACGACGTATCATTTATTTCTAGGACGACGTAGTACACAAGGTCGATGTTAATGTGAGTTCTCGGCTGCCATTCAACAATTGCTCAAGTTCCCTTGGAAAGTAACCATGTTGAGATAGATATAGATATATATATATATAATTATATTTACGTCCAAATTTACTCATTCGAGTTCACATCAAAAATGATTTATGTATCAAACAATAATTTTAATTGGTTTTACTTCAAATAAATGTATTAATCTATTTCAGTCTGTTCATATCTACCTCAGTCTCCTCATATCTATCTATCTATCTATCTATCTATCTATCTATCTACCCATTTAACTCAGTCTCTTCTTATCTATCTTTGTTTGTTCATACCTATCTATCCGTCGGATCATACTTTTGTTTTTATCTATTTATCGCAATTTGATCCTCTCTCTCTCTCTCTCTCTCTCTCTCTCTCTCTCTCTCTCTCTCTCTCTCTCTCTGCTCCTATCTATCTATCTATTTCTTTCGGACTGGCCATGTCTCTCTCAATCTATCTATCTATCTCGATCTGTTAATATATTGTTTTTTATCTATCTATTCATCACAGCCTGATAGTATCTATTTCAGTTTGTTTCTCTCTCTCTCTCGTTCTTGTCTCTGTCTCTGTCTCTGTCTGTCTCTCTGTCTGTCTCTCTGTCTCTCTCTCTCTCTCTCTCTTTGTCCCTCTGCTCCTATTTGTCTATCTATCCCTTTATCATTATATCTATCTCTCTATCTTTCTCGGTCTGGTCATGTCTCTCTCAATCTGGTCATATCTATCTATCTATCTATCTATATATCTATCTATCTATCTATCTATCTATCTCGCTCTCTGTATATATATATATATATATATATATATATATATATATATATATATATATATATATATATATATATAAATGGTCTGGCCATATATGTCACGCATAAGTCTATTTACATGTGTTAGAAGAATATGTGAGTTTTTTGTTTTTGTTCTTTTTTTTTACTTGGAAGTTGATATATCGATTAAGTTTTCTCTTGGTCAGAACTATTCATTTAAGTGAACAGAATGTTTTTCAAGCCTTCCCAATATTTAATTTAGAAGCAGCATTTCTGTTGTCCGCCCTTTTATTTGATAAGTGATCGCTGCAAGAGAGTCGAGCGATGACGTCCTAAAAGAATATCTTTTCGTCGTCTTCTTTCAACAGAAAAAAAGGAGGAAAATTTGTCGAAGGCATCAATTGTAAGAAAATCAATACAATTCTACCAGTCATTACAAGTAATTTTAGAAATCCTGGCCAACGTCTGACAAATAAAATAATATTATTTTCTTGTTCCGCTTGAAGTTACATCAGGCAACAGATATCTGAAAATACTTTAATAATATTGATTATAATATTGCCGTAGACTATAAGTGTATAATTATATATATATATATATATATATATGTACACAGGCGCGTGTGTCGATCAAAAAGTAATCCCAGTTTGAGTTTAAGTTTAAAATATTTGTCAGAATTCCAAATGTACTTTTTTATCTTCTTTTAATTTATGTATAAATTATAAAGTGTCTAGAACGAAAGATGAAAAGTTTATGGTTGTACCGTCTCTTAACCTACACACATTCCACTCTGGAGACACACATAAATGCAGAGAAAGAAGTTTCGGTTTTGGATGAAGAAAGAACTGCAAATATTCACAAGAGGTTAAAGAATGTTTATAAAATGGGTGTACTTTAATGTAAGGGCACACACACACAAATATATATATATATATATATATATATATATATATATAATAAAAATATTATTATATTCTTACTCTGTCCTGGACATGGAGTTCTACCTTGGATTCTATTCTCTTGGAAATTTATATATATATATATATATATATATATATATATATATATATATATATATATATGTGTGTGTGTGTGTGTGTATGTATGTATGTATGTATATATATTTATATATTATATATATATATATATGTGTGTGTGTATATATTGACCATTAATATTATATATATATATATATATATATATATATATATATATATATATATATATATATATTGGAAATACATTAAATTACAAATTTGTATGTGTATGCATATTTGTTTCCACCTCACTGTATATATGTACTTATGGCAGCAAGAATACACTGTAACATGTTTATTAAATTAATATTATTAATGTCTAGCATTTTATTCGATGTTGTAGTTTGTATATATTTTGTCGAATATACTGATCAAATTTATAAAGTATCTGGCCAAATTCATTTTTTCGAATACATTCGATTATATCGAGTCATTAAATGCCAAGCTAATATTATCATGTTTTAGCAAATATATATATATATATATATATATATATATATATATATATAATTTCAAGTGTATACAGACGTATACACACTCATGTGTGTGTGCGCGCGTACGTGTGTGTAAAATGTTACTTTCTAAATTTAAATGTATTTAAAAAAAAAACAATATATCCCATTGAAAATAATTATAACGGTGCCGGCGGCAAATGGCAGTTCATCCTGTTCGTAAATCAAGTCAACGAAAATGGAGATTTTGTAATAAGGCCCAGAGAATAAACCTATTCTATTGGGATGAAGCATTCCAAATTAATTTCCTTACAAACTAACAGACATTCTTTCGGATCTTGACGCTACTTTTCAATTCAATTTCGCCGGTTAGCAAAAGCAACATAAAGCACCACATCATAAATGAAATTCGAATTTCTTTTCTGTTCAATCATGGGTTTTACTTTTTCTTTTCACACTTTTTCTGCATCGACCTTATTTCAATGGAGCTTTTGTTCTACATGGAGCCTATCCCCATGAAAAGTTCAACCTGAAGAAATGCGAACAATGAGCCAACTGATATTAAAAAAAAAAAGACACGTACAAAACTAAGGGGAAACTAAATTAAATTCATCAAGAGCTTAGCTCAAAGTTTGAGATAACTTTTTTCTTTCATTTTTATTCTTTCTGCGAGCGGGCTCACCAAAATGGACACGCATTTATAAAGAGTTATGTAACTCGAGAGCGATGGTCTTAAGAAGACAGCAGAAATGCTATGCTCTACTGTAGATGCTGTTTCAATGCCAACAAAATGTAAGCAAGAAATATGCTTCTATAAACGAGTAGAAATGATTCAAAAGCCTCAAGAATGAATGGATTCAAGCATACATGGGAATCTCTTTCTTAGGTAAAGCAGAGAGTTCTTACTTTCATTCTGTAGTTACAAACTCATCTCAGAAAGCAAATCGCTAATCTGCAATTTCTATACTCATTTCATGTCCATTAGTTGGGCCTTATACCAGACTAACGGAAAAACGTTGAAGTTTTAGGAAGTTTTAACAAACGCTTTCTCTTGACGTTCGATTCTGAAATATCTTCTCGTCTTGTTAGTTTGTCTGAGTTTCTTGGAAAAAGATTTCCTATTATAATTGTGTTTACCCCCTCACTTCGTTGATTAACTCGACCGATACGCCCTGCCAGTCCCTCATAGATAATAGACTATTCCGCGTTTTGATCGCATGGAAAGAGGAGAAAAGACATTACTTCGTTTCAATGAGAAAATGAAAAAGAAGAAAGAAGGAAGAGCATATAGAAGTGGGGAGAGAGAGAGAAAACGAAGCAGATTAAGCTGAGAACAGATACTACACATTGATCTTAACCAAACGTCGAGATATGAGGACGACGATATTCAGTCACCCCCGCCCCCACGAGGGTGTCATGTGGCACAAGGCCTTTTTAACGTGGGAATTCCCGAGCCATTAGGCTCGGCCAAAAAATAGCCCATTTGAACCCGTATAAACGGGTTCTGGGCCGGTTTTACCTCCCCAAAGGAGACTCCGCCCTTCGGCGTAGCCTCCTTCGGGTTCCTCCCGCCCGTAGGAAGAGAGTTAAACCGAACAGTCGGTTCAGAGTTGAGCGACTGACTTGACTGGTATGAGGGCGACCATAACAAATCTTTCAGCCGCACAATATCGAGTCAAAAATCCAATTACAATAAATTAAATAATTCTTGTGAATTATTTTTTAAATCATTATTAAAAGAAAAGTATTTAAGACGGGGATTTAGATGGAAAGATAGAAAAAATGAAGAAATAAGGGAAGATAAAAAAATTTGATGTCTTCTATCAGCAGCTCATCTATAAGGGATTATTCTGTTTTGATCTCGTGAAAAGAGGGGAACTCGTACTACTTATAGCGAAAGAAAGAAAGAAAGAAAGAAAGAAAGAAAGAAAGAAAGAAAGAAAGAAAGGGAAGATAAAGTATTTAACGTCTGTTTCAGTTAAATTAAAAAAGTTGTCAATTTCAAATCTTTTCATTTGTACCCCCTTACTTCTTGAAATAACGACCAGCATTCATATTTATGATAGTTCCTACAATAAAACGTCAAAGTTGCTAAGCTCAAATATTTAACAATGCGATAGGAGAACTTCTACAGATATTTTATAGTCGTAGAACTCGCCATTAGTTTATTCAATCATTCCAAAATCAAACTAAAATTTGGAAGAACTTGAAAGGCGAATACAAGAAGTTATGTCCTCCATACCACAAGAAATCAGTTGACGTAATTTACTGATTTTTACGACTTATCAACCCTTTTTAGGTTATTTAAAAGCGAGAATAATTATTTTTAGTGAACGAATATTGCTTTAGCAATCTTTGAAGATAATGATTTTTTTCTAAATATTTAACCCGAAGCTTGGGATTGAAGCGATGAATTTATAAAAAACTCTAGGTAGCATATCGAAGAGCTCATTCGAACACTTATCATGAAAGTATTTATAGAAAAACATAGAGAGCCAACCTTACGACAGTGGGAGTGACTGAAGCTGAGCCACATGATCATGACCACTGATATTGCAGATTATTGTTTGGATCTTATCAAAGACCTCCAGGGACACCGGACCATATATGGCAGGAATATTTTAAGCATAGACGAATGGTAGATATATAGATATGTAAGATAGATTCTGGAGAGAAAAATTGCCTCGACCGACATAGTGCGCCAACTTTCGTAGCAGATGACTTACTAACGAATTCAATATAGACTTTCCACTTCATATCAACAGGCTCAATGATTCACTTTTCTCAAGGATATCATCAGCCATACTGATGGAAGATAGCAAGGGGTCTCTCAGATGTTTAAAGAAGAAAAGTATTTGCATGTAAGTAAATGTAACGAACTTGAGAAGAATTCGAACTCGGCATTCCGACTTCTCATTCCGAACCGCTTTCTATTACACCACATGCACACCCCTAAACAGTGAAAGAAATAGCGAAATTATAAATACAAATGACTTGTGTTTTATTAATAGTTCGTTAGGATATGTCTGGAATTCATCCATTTATATGCTGGTAGCACATGGAAAATTATATCATTTCGTTTAGATTTCGTTTTTTTTTGTTTGTTTTTTTTGTTACACTGCCAATCCGAAGTTGGCAAACAGGTGGATTCTTATTGAATTAATTTTATACGATTGGGTTCAAGCAAAAAAAAAACACAACCAGTTGTAAACTCCAAATAAAAATATACGTGGCTTGTCAAGAAAATTTCAGTGACCGATAAGAATTCTATTTATGTTGAAAAGAACTCTAAAAGTTATTGAGATATTTAAGACGACAGTTGAATATACACGTTTATAGTACCGCATCTGCTTTTATCAACCCTTATTAAATATATGTACACCCTTTCCTTTCTTTCATCAGACGGTCAGTTTTAGAACCACTGGAGTGACAGGGTGTAATCGATTTCTATTTTTTCCTCAGATTAGGCCATTTGCAGTGGTGTGCAGTAATATGAATCTATTTTCGGTGTGTGTTGGAATTAGTTTGGACTTGAAAAATATTACGTTATTCGTGACTGCATCAGATTTTTATCACACCTAGTCACTATTGTCTCAACTGTCGATTAGTTGTCGTATGGCCATTGTCTATACTGGACCTTACTCCAAGGAAGCGTACAAAAATTATAAATTGCCTGTGAATACGTATATACATTTCTGTAAATTCAAAACACTTAAACTATTCGTGTTACTGCTTTATGCAGCGTTCTAGATTTCAAAATTCAAAATTCATGAGGCAAGATGAAAAAAAACGTTTTTTCCAATTATTAGCAGTTGACCCGAAATAAAATTTATTTTGTTCATTATGCTTGATGCTGGCAATTACATTCTTGATCATCATAGCTACCATTATTTTTGTTTAAGTATTTATTAAGG